TAACGCTCACAGTCGGGATCAGGTGAGCCTTAACCATCCCTCAGTTATACTGCTGGGCACTTCCTACGATCCACTGAGCATTTCTCCTTCACAATCTATATGTTTAAATACCAAACCATATATATTGTATTTATTCATTAGTAATTATTAAACTCTGTCCTCCATCGTGTGTCTTCTGTCCTTCCTTTTTCTTTCACCCCAAACTGGTTGCAGCAGATGGCTGCCCCTCCCTCAGTCTGGTTCTGCTAGAAAGTTTGCTTTTGCCACTGTTGTCAAACACCATGGGTTTGTCTAATTGCTGTGTTTTCTCCCTGCCATGGATAGTCTTTACCTCACAGTACAATCCCCCAGAGGTGACTGCTGTTGTGTTTGTTAAAAAAAAAAAAGAAGAAGAAGAAAAAGTGAGGTGCTTACTGAAAAAGTGGGCGAGGCAGAGGGTAGGGCACAAAAGGTCTGTGCGCCACTGCATAAATGTACTCCACCAGGTCATGAAGGAGGTAACGATTGGGTCTAGACAAAAGAAAACAGGAGATAGAAAGAGAGAGAAATGTGTATCATGCACACCCATGGTAACAAAGGCAGGACTCGAACCATTGACAAACATGTTGCAACAGATTTATTGTACAAATGACTTGATTCAATTTGACAAGTTAAGCACAAAATTAACCTTAATCATCTTTCTTCAGTGTGATTTTACAAGTACTGTTTCTAAATAAGTTATGAATCAATTACACCAAGCTGTGGTATGCCAACTTGGCAGCTGAGGCGGAGGGCAGAGACAGGAAGATCAAGGTGTGTCTGGTGGAAGTGGGGTGCAGCGGCTTTGTTGCCAATACAACAGAAAAACTGCTTAGATTGGAGTCTGAGGACAGGCTATAACAGAATCAGCTAACACTGCTGAGAGGACCAATCACTGGCTATGACTGAAGAGGGCTGACATCACTTGGGCAGCTAAGACAGTCGGCTAACTGCGAGACACACGTTCAAGATTAATCCGTGGTGGGCCTGCCTCAGCAGAGGCTGTCAAACGGGTAGAAAACTGAACACTAGAAGTTTTACTGTGATAAACCAGAACCCTCCTGTGTCAGCAGCTGTGCAGTTAACCTGATGGTAGTGTAACCTAACGGCGCTCCATAAATAGAAAGAGGTAAGTATTACTTCTCAGTTGCAGTGAATTGATAGAAGAAAATAAACTGTAGAAAACTAAACAGAAGAAAGTAGAAGAGAAATAACAATTTAACATAAACCAGTGACACACTCCGGGGCCTGAGCAATCCGGGCAAGGCCTCCTTGGATGAGGGCGTCTAGTGATAATGGCCGAAACACCCGATGAATCCAAGGTCGACTACTGACGATGTGTCCCAAAATTTAATATTATAATCTAGATCAGACCTCTAATCCCTAAACGTAACCAAGGAAGATAAAAAGAGACTGAAAAATGGCAGAATAGCTTGTGATAAAAGAACGAAACACCCTGTGAAGTTGAGGCACACAACGATGTGTCCGACTGGTAAAGCTGCCTTTCCTCATAGCAGCCGTGCCTCATAACCTTCTCCATTTGAAGCAATGCATTACCAGCGATTGTAACATCTGATCCTTTTATTGAATTGATGTTTTTTTAACTGAATTTATCACCACCTAAAACGTTTCACATTAAATTATACATCTCCATTATAAATCTGTTTTATTTTTTAGTCCAACATTTAGGAACGTTTAAACCCTCGTGTGTTCTTCTGCTGACGTATTGTTTCTGGCAATTTCACAGTACATTAAAAATAACATTAAAAAACTAAAGAAGACATTGAAGAAACACCCTACAGCTATGTTATGATTCTTGATGTTGTACAATTTGTCCACCAGAGGGCACTCTGGTGTTACAAACAAAAGTTACAAACAACAACAATCTGATGCGAGCAATCAGGAAGTGTGTAAATGGGCAATCCACAACTTGTTGTGATAATTAAAAACAGGATTATTTATAAACGATTACTTTATTATTATTATTTTATTAAGGCCTAATTAAAAACTACACATAAATATTAGGGCAGTCCATTTATGTTTAGTGTGTATGAAAGAAGAAGAATATTGGCTGACATATTGGATATTAAATATGATCAGATGTTGGTATCAGTCAGGCTTTAACTTTGTTTTTCATAAATCCGTAAAAACTAAATACTTTCTCCTATTTAACACAGTTCTGAATTGAAATCACTGCGACTGCCAGAACAGCAGCTATAAATTTGAACTTTTAAACATTTCAATATTTGTTGAACTCTTTGGCATAAACACATTACAACATGCTAACTTTGCTAACAAATTAGCCCACTTACCCAACCAGTGCATATGTCTTTCCATTAGCATCAGGGTCTCTGATAGCACTGATGATGGCCTTAGCCACATCCACCACCTGAAGGGGAAAGACGGTGCGTTTAGTTGAGTGGTGTGGTCATCCACAGTGTAACTTCAATTCGTATATAAAAAATGACAAAACAGTTTTGCAACCACATGGCCCGGTGATAAATTAGGTATGCAACAATGAATCAAACCAGTGGAGCCACTTAATCATAGCTGCAGTGACAAGTGTGGCTCTCACAAAACAGCAGACGTGATGGAAACCATTAGCCACACTCCAACAAAATACAAACAACAACTTTCAATTTTTGTGTGTGTTATCTTAAAAGGGAAAATAAACTGATAGATAAAGCAGTTAATAAAATCAAGCACTGCTTAGCTTTTAAACCTTACATGAACAGGCTGCTTCACCGCCTTTTTTCCGAGGGCAATAAGAGGAACGGCATTTCCAAACCAGCGCATATCTGAGGAAGGATTTAAATCACACAGTTACACCAATTATCACTCATCTTCAAAGATGAGGAACAACAGCTCTGTGTGAAATTACAGAAAGGAAACACTGTAGCTAACATGCAGGACAAAAGAAACCACAATTATAAAACTGTAATGAGCTTTTGCTGACATTTATACGACACAGAGGTAGAGCCTTCTTACTTGCGTAATAGTTGAAGAATCTGTCCTCCCTCCCAAACATCTCAGAGGGCTTCATGATGATGGCATCGGGAAACTCTTCCCTTACTGCATTCTCTCCCACAGCCTACAGTTAAAGAACGAGACACACAAAGATCTGTTAATAAACATTAATTATGAACTGTAATATAAATGTATTCAAAACATAGTTTGACTTTGACAAAAAGAGGTCCAGTCTGTATAGAAGCTGTTCCTGACCTTGTTCCTCAGGTATTTGGATGGGCTGCGGATGTCAGCGTTGAGGTGCGACATGTGGACGAACTTTGTGATGCCGGCTTCTCTGGCTGCCCTGGCAATCTGCTGTGGGATGGTAACATACACATCCTCGAAGCGAAAGTTCCTTCACAGAAAGAGGTGGAAAAACCTTAAATAGCCAACCTGAAAGGGAACTTATTAGCACAAACTTGCTTCTTGTGAACACCAGAGCCTTTTTCCAGGCAAATATACCTCGTCTCCCACTCTCTGCCCACCAGATTGATGACAACATTTGAGTGCTCCATAGCCCGTTTAATGGAGTCTTTGTTCCTGGCATCCCACTGCTTTAACACAATAAACAAAGACAAGGTGACTGTCACATCCGCATTCATGGCCGTATGCACTTTAAAAAGTTTCTTCAAGAGAAATTTGCATCTATTAGCAGCTTACCAAAAAGAGGATTTGCCCAAGATCACCCATGGGCCTGAAGTGCATAAGGTCATACTGATCACAGCGATGAGGGATTATAATCTGAGACCCAATCCGACCTGAAAACACCACATGAAAACATTTTAACTTCCCCTAAACAGTGTGTACTCTGAAATCCAGCACTGCGGTATGTATACGTACTAGCTAATGAGCAAATGCACATTAATGTCAGCATTTTTCCCACTTTTTCTCAACTCACCCAGCCTATTGACAACGTATCGTCCCAGGAAACCTGTGGCACCAAACACCGTGGCAGCTATTCCGCTAAAAGAGGACCGTCCTCCTTTCCCTTTAGGGATGAGAGCATGATGCAGCTTCCTCTGCTGGACTGTGGTGACAGACGCAGCTGACAACAAAGCAGGGTAGCAGTTGCCTGGTAGGGGGAGTAGAAAGGCAAGCAGCAGTTGGATTTAATCATAAGGTGAGATGCAATCAGTTACAGACTTAATTGGAAAAGACCATAAAGATGAATGATTGGCACTTCAAAACTGTAGTAAAGCTCACAATTTAGCCTCATTCATCTGGCAACCGAAAGCCACAATAGAGTGTGCATGGTATTACATATTAGAGTAATGATTTTACTAAAGGTAAGTTAGTTTTAAACAACACATTTCACAACAACAGAATTTAGCCCAAAGTCCTTTACAAGCACTGTTAAACTTTTCCATAGCAAATCCTGATCACCTTGAGTTTTTAGGCAAGAAGGAGCATTGAGAGAAATGTATATGTTATAATTATAATGTTGTTATAATAATGACTTCATTGAATTGGAGGCAAATTATGAAATTAAAAGACCTGTAAATTACTGTGAAGCTAACTCATAGACGGCTTTAAAAGTAAATAACATTTTGAAACATTTATTAAAAACGTCACAGGCAGCCAAAGCAGGGGAGCTAAAACAGAAGTGACGTGCTGTCTTTTCTTTGTACCAGTTAAGAGCTGAGCAGCTGCATTTTGAACCAATGTCAAACCAGAGAGTGGAAATGGGAAATCCTATATACGGGGAGGCTGCAGATGACAGAAGCGACAACATTGTCCTTAATTTCACACCGGTTCTCAGTTTGTAAATGAAAGAAACTAAAAATGTGAACTACAGGGCAGACTAAGTCAAAGCTAGTTCAGTGTTTCTGTCCAGAATTATATAATTATACCATCCCTACTTCGTTACTCTAAAAACAGCATCCAGTCTGTTAAGCAACAAAAATGTTGTTTTATTTTGCAGTAAAACAAAAAGAGAAACAGGAGATGCTAGCAGTCTGCGAAACATACGCTACAGCTGCACAGAGGAACCAGCTCGACCCAACATCATACTTCACGTCCTTGCTATATTAATCCACAATGGGACGCAGTCGCCCAGATTCAGCAGTAGCTCATGGTAAAATACTTAATTTTACTTTTCTAGTTTCCTACTAGCTACCCAGAGCTCTTGCTAACGGGTGATTGGCCGAGCCCGTTAGCAAGGTCACCCGAGCCGAGTGTCCCGTCTCCGTGTGATCATGTTATGGAATCGCACAAATGTAGGGATTGGCTATATGAATCTGTAAGGCATACATCTACACACGCTCTGGCTACAATAGTAACGGTACTCACTTGAAATCTTTGAAAGGACACTCGCAGGACGGCTAACCAGCACTACGGCCGCCATCTTCCCAACTACGGCAAACCCCGTCGGCCAAAATACGAGCGCTACCGCGCGAAGAAGGCGTAAATACGACCGTAATATACTGTAAATATATATATTTACAGTATATTGTATAAAGAACCTTTGTTTTCTGGGCAGTTTGTCTTAATTTTAGCTTTTCCAGGCTTGGACTTGATATAACTTTATTTGCCAATAAAAACTAAGCACTAAAATAAATAGCCACAAATTTATTCACACTTTCAGCTTTTTATTAGCATAAACTGATAAAACACTACTTATATAATTATACATTTCGATTAATGGTATTGTCTCGTTTCTGTTTTATTACTGAATTGTATATTCAAATATTTATTTGCTGTTTCGTTGTGGCCTCATGTCTGCCAACTTGATGGTTATTGTACCCGTTAAGACGTTAATTTGCTGTGAATATTACATCATGAAAATACGAATTACACCAATAACACATTAACTTAAAAGATTAATTAATATAAACGGAAACTAGTGTAGTCCAAACTGTATGACGCTCACAAAGTGATGAACATGCCTCGTTTTATCTCTGGTTGAATAAAAAGGATATATCAAACACATGGTTTCTGAAACAGCTTTTTTCTCGTCTTTTATTCCGTCAAAAAAAAAAAAAAGATTTATCAGGACTTTTCTTATTTCAGCTACAATCCTTTATTTCAGCATATCTGCCTTCTTAGCGAACACAAAGCGAGGGCTTATCTGCAATTTATGTCAGATCTTTTATGGCGACTAAAAAACCCCAAAACAAACAAACAAACAAACAAAAAACTAATAAAATGCAAGTTTTTTTCAATTTCTCCTGTAATATTATATAAGATCTTATAAAATAAAAAGGATCCTGGCAGGTTAAATCAAATTCGGGTAAGAATTCAGCAACTTCAGGTGTATACACACAATATTAAAGTGCAAGATTTCTAATACTGCAAGGCACAAACTATCAATAATAGGATTGTCTTTTTGTATCTAATATAAAAAATGTTGGTAATAACACAGACATACAAAATTTCTTCATACAGTAACAAGACAACAAGTAAAACCTTGTCTAAGTCCCCCACAAGTATCTGAAATATTTTCTCATAATATGGTCTGTGGTTGACATGTATAAGAAATTACAGCTGAAACATACATTTATATATATATATATATACAGTAAATTCTGTTACAAATCTTTAATGTTTGTTGAATTAAACTGTTAAACAAATATGAAACAAAGGGTCAAATATATTCCACAATAAACAGCGATAAAGTAATTAATAATCAGTATGTCATCGACTTCATACTATAATTAAAATGTACATGAGAAATATTTCTGTAATATCACAACTGAAAAAACATTTGGCTCAGCCTTTATTGCACCACCACACTTTTCTTTTTACATCAGCTCATCTGAGATTTTCAATGCACAGCAAAGATTTTTGGGGTTCATAAACAGTAAGAGAGTTTATGCTGCACCATCTGTACATTGTTGTGTGGCAGACAGTTTGTGACACATTTAGACAAACTAACAACTGCATCTCAACTTCATTCAAAAATGCAACTGGTTGATTGACTTCACTGTCATAAAAACTCAAAGATTCACCAAACAAATGATAATACACTACGACTGAATAGTTTAAACAATAAAAACGACGTCTGTCTTTGCTGTTTATTGTTGTTTCTACTCCATACATCAGTGTTTTCTACACGGCACGTGGAAACGGAGACGTTTTCTGTGTGTGAGTGTGTCTGTTACTATCAGTGGTAACGTTTCACTGACTCTGTGAATGTGCGGGGTTTTCAAAATCAGCTTTCTCAATCGTGTTATTTGAATGTTCTCTGTTCCCATTTGTCATGATTGTAGCATGTTTATCTCCGTTTGTTAGACAGCAGGTGAGAAATCCTGAGATGCCTCCTGAATATCTTTCTTCTCTGTGTCATCTTCCTCTTGAGGTTTGATGATGATGTGTATGGGCCTTTCTCCGCTCCATTCCTGTTGCTTGGTATCTGTGGACAGCTTGCCTTCACTTTCACACACCTCCTCTTCTGCCGAGGCCCCAATGGGACGCAGACGCTCTGCGGGAGCCATCTTTGTTCCGGTTTCTGAACTGTCTCTCTTCAGCTTGTCGCTGCTGTTGCTTTCCGAGCTGACCTTCTCTGCTGCGCCGTAGAAACAAAGCACATTAGATGTCAGCTCGCAGCAATTACAAAAGAATTTAAAAAGTGACATGGATATCAAGTAAAGTAATTTAGTAGGGGTGCAACGATACTCGTATTGATATTGAACCGTTCGATACAGTGCTTTCGGTTCGGTACGCATATGTATCGAACAATACAAA